TCAACAACGGTCCGCCCTCCACGACACAGGGACGGCAAAAAGTGCTTAATTTCAGTGCTCAAGAACTGCGTCTCAGGGCCTGATTACTAGAACTAGGTGTGCTGTATTAGGGATGATAAAGAGCCCCGGGCAGTATTAATGAAAAGTGCTATTAAAAAGAGTTTTATCGTCGGTTTCAGTGCTTTACAATTATTGATAGGTTTATTGATCCGGTCTGATATAACCAATCACTCTCTCATTGTTTCCACTAGCACCACCCTTCCTAAGCTCAGAAGCCTTCTCTCCGGTCCTGGTCTTGTGTCAGTAGGTTATTTTCGAAGGGAGTACATCACTTACATGTGCATATATCTTGCTCACCAGATGCCGGAGCATGCTGAATCAGGTACCAGAGAAGGGGTGGTGTGGGAGGGGGGAGGAGGGCCAGGAGGGTGAGAGGACAGATGCAGTGGTGGGTGGTGGTGGTGGTGGTGGTGTCGAAGGAGGAACCGGAGGTGAATTTAATCCGATGGACCACGGTAGGACCCTTGGTGGCAGTGGAGAAGGGTCCATAAGCATGGATTCAGACGTGCTTAATTTCATCCCATGAACAGAATCCGCACTTGAAGTGCTGAATTCTTACTTTTAAGTACTCTCCGGGCTGAAACCAGGACCCTTTTCCGCGTCCAGTGCGAGGGTCCTGAGCAAAGTAATATTCACTGCGTGTTGACCCAAAATGCAATAGGGCATGGCAGGGTATTTTGGGTATTTGCAGGGAACTTTCCTAGCCGGAACGTGCTTCTTTTTCCAGGAGTCTGAGCAACACATGGTGATTGGATGTCCAAGCGGTGTTATAGTGATCGGTTGCTACCCCTTGTTACATAGGCATGACACCTGTGTGGGCATCAACATATATCCTCCTATGTAGTATGGAACAGATATATAGATATATGTATTATAGTTTATCTGATCACATGCAAACATTCAGCATTGTTCGAATCTTTTCGTTTGACCAACACTAAGCAGTTTCACAAACAATGTGCTCCTCCTAGGTAGGTCCTTCTGACATCGTAGCATAGCATAGGTCATCTGAATGATACCGCAGCCCTCGATTCAAATCACCATTACTCGTAAAGCACTCAGATTCAATAAGACCCAGTAAAGGCACCAACCAGTGCAGGACCCTATCCTGCCCAAAGGTGAGAGGATATAAAGCTTGGAAACAAACTTCAAGCAGGTCATCACACATTCTTTTCCACCAGACAGCAATTCACCGCACAAGTTCCCCACCATACTTTGTGCCCTCATCAACACCAAGATGCTTTTCTCCAAGGTTGTTCTTATGTTGTCGACACTCTTTGTCACTTTATTGGCCACTGCTCACCCAGACCCGCCCAGTCAAAGAGAGCACGGCTCCAACGCTCTATCCCTACGGGACATTTCTACAGCCGACCTAATTGACGACATTTACTCTTCCTTCGATGACTTCGAAGGATCAGATCATCTCATAGGACGGCAACAACCGGTGGTATGTTTTCACTCTTGCCTGTCTGTATAGAGAACTGCTCAAAAAGTGGAAAAATCAGAAGGGAAGCAGAGTCGAGCTCACTGACAACCCAAGCAAGAAAGGCATTGTCGAGGATGTCCGTCTTAAAACATCTGGGGAACAGGTCAATTCTTTTTGTTGCTCTCATCACTAAACTTGTACTGACCTCTTCTGTCCAGACCTTTCGTGTAACATGGGACGATGATGTTAAGCATCCCGGTTATTACAAGGGCGGCAAACTCACTGTCATCTGAAGTTGTAAAACATGGTCAGCAAAGCTGTCTTGGTAGTACAAAGATGTATTTAAGAAAAGCAAATAGGTGTATGTGACTGTGAGCTTAGTCGGATATGGAACCCGTTCATGTTTGCTCGCTGGAGCCCAGATGTGACAGACTGAATGTGTCGAATATGTCAGATGCAGTTGTCGCAGTGGACCCGGGGGGATGGGGGTTGGGATGAGTGGCCTACGTCTCGACTTCTGGAAGCGTGGGAGTGGTACTGTGAACCAGCGTGCCGTCGAGCGGTTCAACATCCAGCTGCAGGATATTGTACAGTCGCCTCAGAGTCTCCCTGACTGAGGACACTCACAACAAATGTGCAGTTTGCTCCGCCGCAATTAGCAAGACAGTACTGGGTCATGTCAACAGGGTTATCAAGCAGAATGTCTTCCATACTAAACCCATGAATCGCCGGGGTTATACCCACAAGGTTTGCCCATCTATTATGTATGGTAAACGTAGTGGTATGATTTGTTGCACGTATCATGGATGCTCGTTCAATTACGTTTTGGACGTCCACATACTCGTGTACTACCCTACTCAGGTGTTACAAAGATTACAATAAAATCTCATGATATCGTGTGGTCATCCGTATTTTAAGGGGTGTAGCGGAACATGGGGGCATGATCCGCGAGCTCAGAGACGTCTACCGCGGCGTGCCTGTCCGCATACCCGTACTTCTTGTCCCTGCGCTTGTTCTCCATGCGGCAGTAAACAGTAAGGATGAGAGCGAGGATAGTAGAGAGGTAAGCAAAGCCACAGGTCACGCCAAAACCTGTTAGGTAGCGTGGGCCTTGTGTCAGGGGGTAGATGTTTGAACCAAGAATAGAGCCACACTGCCCAATGGCTTGGTACATGGCATTACCCATTGCTCTCTTACTTTCTGAGCCCATGTTGTACGGAAACCATGCAATACAGAGACCAATGGTGGTGTATGTGGAGATGCAGATGAGGAATGTGGCAAAGTAGCGCACATGGATGTTGCTTTCCACGCAAAGCATGATCAAGTAGCCAGTCCCACCAATAAACGTTGAGAAGATCATCGGGATACCGCGGGATTGATAATGATCTGAGCCGAAGGTGGTGAGGATCAGAACGACGGCACCGACAGTATAGGGGGGGACGGTGAGGAGCTGGGCCTGTGCGGCACTGTATCCCATAGAAGCGATGATGGTGGGCAGGAATGCGCCGAGAGCTGCAGCGGCACAGTTGGCGCCAAAGTAGATAGTGCCGGCAACGTACGTCTTCCAGTCAAGGGCTGCCATGCGAACATGCTTCCAGTTCAGAGATCCTGCTTCTTCCTTGAGCGCACCACGGGACATGCGGAGGATTGCGAGCTTCCGCTCGTCGTCGTTGAGGTACTTGGTCTTCTCCGGGCGGTTAGGGAGGACCTTCATGGCGACAAGACCGAAGAAGGCAGCTGGGATACCCTCAATGATAAACAGGAGGCGCCAGTTATGAATGCTGCCATGGATATTTTGGACACCGAACGCTGGAGGTCTATTCAGACAATGATTAACGCGAAAGGAAAACAAAACGGACCGATCAAGCCACCAAAAGCACCAGCGACGTTGGCGCATGAGAACCAGATACCAAGGCGCTTTCCAATTTCTTCACGGGTGTAGAAGTAGGTCCAGTAGATGCACATGTTGGGGGAGAACATAGCCTCGAAAATGCCGATGAAGATGCGGCACATGAACAGGGAGGCGAAATTGAATGCCAGAGCCTGCATCGCGCAGACGAAGCCCCAGCCAAAGGCAGCACCACCAAGCCAAAGATGCAGAGGTGCCTTCTTGGCACCTAGGACACCAGGGAATTGACCGAAGACGTATGCGCTTGAGAGAGTCAGACAGTGCCATTCGCAATCACAGAGACAGCTCACAAGTAGAAACCAGAGTTGATCCATGCGAAAAGTTGGCCAGTGGGATCGCCACCAAGGACGTCTTGCGGCAGTCCTTGCAGACGAGCATTACCCTGATAAAGTCATGAGCTAAGAAGACATTGGAATGTGGCCACGTGTCATACCAGGTTCGTGCGGTCGAGGTAGCCGCATACGTACATGCACATGAGAAGGGGAATCATGATGAAATCGAACTACAGAATATACATCAGCTTCTACCGTGCGACGACCGTTGTAAGAACGCACCTTGCGGATAAGTTTCCTTTCGGACTCAACGTCTATGGGCTCCGAGGTCTCGGGGACATGCTGCTCTTCGAACGAGGTAGAACCCTTCTCGTCGGCAATCTCCAACTCTTTATGCTCAGACGCGGACATCGTGAATGAACTTGAAGGTCGTGCAGGAAGGAGTAAAATAGGGAAGAAGTTGGAAAGAAGTGGTGGGGGGAGAATGAAGCTCAAGCCCAACGAAGGAGAAAATGCAAGTGCGGGGAGGGGGATTATATACCAGACCAGCTCGGTGGAAACGACATGGTTTGACTTTGAGAATATTACCCCGCGGGTCCGCAGGCGAGCGGCGTCAAAACTTGTCTGTGAAGTGCGACCCCACTCAGGGCTGATTGGGGCCACGCTCGCCCTGGATTGTCCGTCCTTGTCTCATTCTATCCCCCTCTGGCGGGCATCTAATAGTAAACAACTCCGGCGCGGGGCTGAACACACTTGGCGGGTGGAGAATAAAATAACTCGCCATCACGAGCGTTGTCAGCGACCGGATGGGGATGCTTAGGCACGGACTTGCCGCTCAATCTGTCCGGACCATCACGAAACACGTGGACCCGTTGGTGGGGTCTTCCCATGAGCCCAACTTACCGCCGGCACGGTTGAATCTACCCGTCCTTGGTCATGTTCTCAATGAACAGCGGTGGTATCAGGCGACTTTTCTCTGCATCGTCGGCCCGCTCAACGACCGCCGTCAAATTTTTGCCTCGAAAAGGCGCAACGGAATCAGAGGACCGGTCCGAGTGCTCCAAATAGCTTTAAGGCTACCAAGGCAACCCTATTGGTTGACTGAATAGGGGATAGGGCTAATCGAGATTTTACACAGTTTGCGGGCAGATGGCGGTCCGCCAGGCGGGGCGCCTCACCCCTGCTTGGCGCATTCCAACGATAACGTCGCACCGGGCGCGCCGCGGCGGAGCCTACTCACCCCGTGGCTCCAACTCGAAGTACATGGAAGCCAATTCACAATCGCCCTTCATGCTTCGTGGAACTGTCACTCTGCGACTCACCGCGCTCCGGGCGGCCCCAAATGAATACAACACCGTGGGTCAACATAGACTCATGCCCTTCCTGCTCTTCGGAGCTGATATATGGCGGCGCTTCGCTTACTATGTATATGACTCGCCACGTCACTCCGCTGGAGGTACGTCATCGAACCACAGAGACAGGGATTTGCTGGCGTTTGGCGTGCTCAACAGCGGATACTTGAAAGAAGCCAGCAATGCACCTTGATGCTTGCCACGGTTATGTCACGTGTTGAGCACCTTTCCATTTCCTCTGCTTTACGCTCCTTTCCCTCCGACTTGATCGTAATATTATCTCTCTCTCCTACCGACCTCATTTCGTCCTTTTCTCAATGGGTTTCAGAGCGGAAGATGGGATAAGCTCCACAATGGCTCACTATTAGTACTTGGCGTACGTTGACGTGACTGGTTTACGTACGTTGTCGCGGCGAACTCGGGACCCTTCCCCCCGGGAAAACAAGGAACCTAACACTGACAGTTCATATCTAACATGTGCAGGAAGTGCATAGAAGAGTGCATTGCACTTTACCCTCTACCATCACAAGAGTAAACCAAGATGGCCAGATTGTTGCTCATCGGATCCTCTCTACTGCTTGCTATCCTCTTCGTTCTGTGGTATCGAAAAGTACGACTGAGTCCACGAAGTGATGCGCCTCCAATGGTCCCCTACATTATCCCTTGGGTGGGATCATCAATCGCGATGGCACGGGATCCCGACAAGTTCTTCGCAAATGCAACGTAAGGAATATGTATCCAGGGGTAATCGTATGTGACCGACGTTGATACAGTGCAAAATATGGGAGTGTCTTCGGCGTACAAGCTGTCGGATTCTATCGCTATTTTGTCACGCATCCTACGGTATCTTGAATCGGCTGCATCCAATGCTGGGGACTGACGGGCATCTACCCCAGCTAGCCAAGCAGATCCACAAGATGTCGAAAGTGCGTAAACATTCCATGCATCGTTTGATAGTGTCCTGACTCTTGGCGCAGCAATTCGTCTTTACCCCGTACCGCATTCATCTTTCCAACAAGGTGTTCGGGATGGAGAAGTCAACATTGGAAGGAACGCCGTTCTTCGAGCAGGAGTTCTTTGATACGGTGCATAGGTGTGCATGATCACACACACCTGCATGGTTATCCTCTGATACCTGTGGCAGATTGTTGGCTCCCAACGAGATTTTAAAGAAGATTGTACCCACGTACGCGAAATACGCCTCGCAGGAGGTTGCGTTATACCTTCCATCGTCCTCCCCAGTTCCTGCACGCGATCTTCTTTACAAAATGCTCTTTCGGGCATCTTCGTTCGCGTTTTTTGGCCCTACCTTTGACGCCGATGGATGCGTCGACGACTTCGTCGCTTTTGACAAAGCGCTCCCTTTGAGAATGCTCAATGTATTCTGGCCGTTGACGATCCCTGGCCAACAGGCGTGGGACGGGATCATGAAGCACATGCGAAACTACGTCGAGAACACCGGGGCGAAAGGTGGCGATTACATGGAATACATGGCGGATCACGCGCGGACGCACAACGTGGACCATGAGATCCCAGCGTTGGCCCTCACCCTGCTCTGGGCATTGGAGGCAAATGCACCTCTCGCGGCGTACTGGGCGATCGTGCTCACCCTGTTCCATGAGGATGGGCTGAAGCCGCTATACACCGAAGTTGACGCAGAGCGGGCTGCTTGGGAGGGTGCAAACCCAACCCTGTCAGTCGTCAAGAACCCCGACTTCTTCGTGGCTCAAGCCAACCTGCCCCTTTTATCTGCCACGATCCAGGAGACGCTTCGATACACCGCTTCCTCTTTCTCTATACGCCGCGTAGTGGAGCCTACGACACTCGGTGGGTACAACTTCCAGATCGGCGAGGAGCTTGTCGTGAATGGCCGCAGCTCACAGACGGACGGCCAGTACTATCCCAATGCGGACACATTTGAACCCACTCGCTTCCTCGTCTCATCGGACCAAGCACCGATCGGCAAGGAAAAAGAAAAGCTGGTTAACTCACCAGCATTCACTGCTCACTTTGGTGGCGGGGTCTCAATGTGCGAGGGACGACATTTCGCTCAGACGGAACTCAAAGTGTTCATCGTACTAATGCTCACACATCTTGATATCAGCCTGGCCCCTGGTGCAAAGCCTGGTGATGTGGTCTTGGATGCTACTAGAATCGGATTGGGTGTGATTCACCCGAAAGGCGACGTGATGTTAGTGGCCAGGAAAAGGCACGTTTAGATCACAGAACGAGGATGGATCTGTCTTGTTCTTATGGTTTTCTTTCTCAATCAGATACATTTAATTATCCACTACTGAAGAATTCCAAACATTCTCTGTTGTCATAAGATTACATTTGTATGGTAATAGATGGTGGTATCTATAATTTGTGCACGAGTAAGTGGACAGGCGGCATCGTGGTTTCCGGTACAACGTTCAAATTTCCCATCATACATTTACATTTCATCTAGTTGATGAATGTGTTATCCACTTGGTTGTCGAGATTGGATAGAGGGATTAGGCGAGCTCAGAGGTCGAGGTCCAATCGCGCGTTTTCCCGACCTTGAAGGAGTCGACCTGAAACTCTTACCTCTCCCAGTTGGAGGTGGGGATGCCGTTATGTCTTCTCGTCCTTGATGTACAGTGGAGATAGGAGCTGGAAAAGGACGGATATGGGTGGCGGCCGAGGGCGGTGGGTTCGTTGGTGCCGTTCGTTGGGGGATACGCGCAGGAACCGCAGCTGCTCTTTCGGGGATCACAGGCAGGGAAGGTATAGGTGTTTCGTCGGGGATCGAGCGGGGTGCAGGAGACGCATTCCCAATAAACAACATGTTATGGGGATTTGGAGGTTGAGCAGGTACAGCAGGCTGCAAACGAATGTTGTTCTTATTGTCGGGTACATGTTTGAGAGATGTCGACCTCATTCGCCCTGGTAGCCTGATTGAAGAGATAATAGAGCTAAAAGATGATACAGACGGGTTGGTGGGGTTTCTTGTAGGTGGAACTTCTCCGGAGGATGTAGAAAGGCTGGGCCAGCGTCGTATCCCGTCCTCGTCCTTCACCGGTGACTGAGCTGGGGATGGCAGCTCCGATGGTGGGTTAACAGAGTGCGCATAACGGTCAGGAGCCGAATGATCTACATTCAGGAATCAGTGGGTTTTCGAGATGTACTCCAGGTCACAGCTCACGGAGATAAGGAGATCGTGATGCAGGGGCCATAGTAGGAAGGATGAAAGGTGTGGGTTCCTTGGGATCTCTTTTCGGATGGAACAAGCATAAACGCTTTCCATCAGGCCCCGGTGATACACCAGATGGGGGTAAAGGCGCGGCATATTCTACACCAGGGGGGACTTTTGTGCGACTTCTTACGCACAGGGAAATGACGAGAACAACGAGTGCCAACGTGATTACGGCACCCACCACGATGCCAGCAATTTGATTTTTGCTAAGTGTCCCGCCTGACGAGCCTGAGGAGGCGACAGGAGCAGAACCTGAGAAGGGCAATCCAGGGGGCAAAGCTGCAGATGTCGGAATCCCAAGGAGACCAATAACAGTTGTGCTGACCATTGGTATTGACAAAGACTGTGTATTCGACTGTACAACGCCGTCTCCTAGAGTGATGGTTCAATCATTGCTGCGTGCTTGATGGCCAACTATACCTTGTACAACGAAGCTGTCAACTGTGATTTGACCAAATGACCCAGAGCGTGGATCCATCAAATTGCAGATTGAAACATTGTGAATGTCGTTGGACAAGCCGTTCGCCGAGTAGAGCAATACGGAGGTATTGCTGCTTAACTCCGATAATGCCAAGGTGTCGACCACAATATAATCCGTCGTTATCCCTTTGTAATAGTGACAGTCCACACACAGGCCAAGAATTCCACCCTGACTGGTCTTGACCCCATACCACTCGAAGCCCGTCCTACCGAAGCGATTAAGTACTGGCTCGCCTTTCAGTCTTTGCAGGCTTACCCCGGCTCTGGAAAGCAAGTCAGCATTGCTCATGAATGCCTACGTGGACTTGGCGACGTACTTGGAAATGTGAATACTACGGTCGCATTGGCGTTCAAGCTACTTGAAGGCACTGAAAAGTGATACGTGTTATCATACAAGTCCCGACCGGGGTCCGTTGCAATGCCCCAGGCTGATGGCGGCTCGTAGTCCACCCAGGAGCTTGAGTCGTCTATCCACATGCCGCCTGGCACTTCCAGAGCCGAAGGCATGTTGCCAAAGACAATCGGTACAATTACAGATTGGACGAAGAGCAGAGCAAGGGGTAGTCAGTTGCATTCCATCGTCGAGCGTAGGATGTCAAGCCTTGACGGAGATGGTCAGCACTTGGGCGGGAGGACATTTGCATTTGCGGCGAGGCAGTGCGATCAAAGGCGATGCGAAGAACCCGATTCCTTGCGACACCAAACGAGGTCCAAATATAAAGGGTCCTACAATTGCCCCTGAAAGCAATTAATTCAAAGGCACAATATTGTAATGAGGAAAAAAAAGGTACTTATTCGATGTGCTTTAATTTGACAAGTATTTCTTTTTGATCAGATTGCTATCAGGCCGTGCAAGACACGTAAATTGACAAGGATGCATGGTCATCAAACACTAAATACTCACAATGACATATCTCGTTAAGCTTGCGTATCAGAACCTCTGCAGGCTTGTGAACACCCGCGTCCCCTGCATCGCTTTCTGTACAAACATTTCTCCTGCACTTCTTTTACATCTGATGAACTTCCATAACGAATGTTAGGGTTTGTGCGTAATTTATACTCATCGGTCACCGATCTCATCCGTCTTGCTCCTTTTGCCAGTCCTCCCGGACCGACGTTCTGCCTCTCCTCTTCCAACCCTCCAAACCATCGCTACGGGCGGAACAAGTGACTTTGGAAAGAGCGAGAATAACTCTGCCGCATACTTCGGTCTTGATCAGTAACATGTATGGGGCTTTGGTTGCCGAAATCCAGGACTTGACAGCAACGACCCCGAGGATGGCTCTTTGTTACGTAAAACATGCGGCATGCTCACCTTCGCAACTTCTCATCGGACTCTGCGCACTATATAATTTTGGAGTAGACATCTTGATTTCCTGACCTGGGGGCTCGGGTATGTCCTGACATGGTTCTGGAAGACTCTATGCTGGCTGTGCTTGCCGCGAACTTAGGAGAAAAAATATGACGCTGCCTTCCCCGTCTTCAGCCGGCACAAACTGCTCGAAACGCGCAAGGCCATATATAAAGGCTCTATACACGGTCTAGTTGGAGCATCAATTTACACGAGAATCCTGTCTATACACCGTCAAACAAGCTCAAAGCCATGCTCGCTTTCCCCACCCTCATTTCAGCCCTTTCTCTGGTCATCGGCTCCTACGCCGCTCCTCTGATCGTTGGCACTGTCACCTGCGAACGTGAGCACAGTTCGCTTCACTTCATAGATCCTCGGCTCATGCTTTCTTGAGCATACGCATCTGGTGCGCTGGATTACAGCACGCATGCCACTGCACCGCTCGGCGGTTATCGTACCACCCTCAACACCCAGCAAGAGCTGACTGTCAGCGTTAAGGATGCAGCATGCGGAACAGGCATCGCCCCCGTGTTCGAGTTCCAAACGTGCAACTCGACACTCATGGGATACGAGCAGAGCCCCACCTTGCATTATGGTATACATCATGTGACTCTGACCTGGTATGGACTGAACTAATTGTGCATGCAGGACATTTGAAGGAGATCGGTACGGGTCAGTGCGTGACTTTGGGCTCCGGCAACGTTCTCAGCCTGGAAGACTGCTACTATTCGGATGATTCCGGACAAGTGCTCCAATACTTCGCTTTTGGCAGCCCGTCCAACGCGGGCCTGCTCACTCTGGTGCGGGGCGTGTACAACGGGATGAACCCGCTTGGTTGGGATCTGGTGCCGACCGCCCCGCCCAGCCCGTTAGCCGATTTCACTGTGACGCTGACGACACCTAGCGGAACTCCACAGAATGTGCTCTACTTGGACAGTGCCTCCACTTGCCACTGATCTGCCCGATCCTTTGTTTTCTTTATCACGGACAATGCCCAGAGCTGGAGCCTTATGCTCCAACACAAGGACTGGATAGTGTTTCTTCACTGGCAATGTATCACGTTCATTAGTATTGACAAGTGCATTCCGCATATTGGTCCCGATATGGGGAGCAAACATCAGTTATACAGTGGTCCGAGGATTGGACTTTGTGAGTTGGTCGTACATGATAGCGTATCTAGAATTATTGCAGGAAGGGGAGAAAAAGCTGAGTGCCCAGTTGTGGCGTTCAAAATGCCCGGAGAAATCATTACTGTTGCAAATCTTGAAGAAGGCTGAACAGGGAAAAGCACAACGCGCGTGTTACAGACGCATAGGGTAGCAGGAGAACGTGAAGTCGTTATTATATGGCATGATTACGGACCACCGAGGAAGGAGAGTGCTTCGAGGAGTTCCTTCTTGGCTGTGGCAACGTCCTCGAAACTGAGTGCGGAGATGGCGTAGGACGCGTGTTTCTTTGCCTGGCTCATCGCGTAGAAGTCTGGCACTGGCGGAGGTACTGGAGCAGAAGGCGCCAAGGCAGGTGCTGAAGGAAGGAGAGAAGAGGGGCGCCCCGAAACAGATGTACCGTTCCAGACTGGCGCGGAGGGGGTAATCGGTGTGCCTTTGGCAGCCGGGGCATGGCCGGGCAGAGGTTTGTACTGATGACCCATGTCGGGGGATGGGTTGCGCGAGCTGGTGCTGCTGTCTGGAAGAGGAAACTGAGCGCCACGAGACGGCGAATTCTGCAAGCTCTGGCTGGGACGGGAAAGCGTGGCGGAAGGGGGAGCAAGGAAGGACCTGTCGATCGGCTCGCTCGAACTGCCACTCCCACGCCGTTCTCTTGCAGAAGTAAGAGCAACTGTGGGGGGTCCACCACGTCGAAGCAGGCTATTTCGTGAATCACGTGTGCCAGTTGGTGTTGCCATCGCAGGACCGTTCTCCGGGGTGATTGGTGTTCGGCCATTCGTGACGCTGGACCTTCTCTCTAGGCCTTGGCCCTGGACAATCGAGGCACTTCCATTGTCCTTCCTGCTCACAGGTGTCCACCCCGACGGTGGACCAACCGGAGTAGAGCCGGAGTTGCTCCGCCCACGAATGTGATGTACGTTGGTATCAATGGTTGGCGGACCTCTATCCTGCCTGTCCTGTGAAGGTCGGCGCTCATGCTGAGCCATCGGAATGGTGGATGGAATAATGCATGAACTCTCTCTGCTTGACGCGGGCGTGTCAATCGATACGGTCGGCGGCGGTACACCTGTTGTGATCGAGGGTCGTAAGGGGAGTCCGTTCCGAGGAGGTGAATTACTACTGCTCCGACGTGGCTGGGTCTCCTTCAAAGGAGGGCTTGGTTCATCATCGAAAACGGAGGGCAGTGTTTCTAACTTGTCCCGTGGGGTGGGAAGGATATTCACCGGCTTAGGCGGCGACAAGCGCGGAGGTACGCTGGCAATGTTGGGTGTGACAGTTGGCGTCCGAAGGTCCGGCATGCCAGGCGTCTCTTGGCGTTCGTCGATGGGGGACATAGGCGCCGGGTCGTTGAGGTCCTCTGAGCCACCAGCAGTGCTCTCTGTGAAGCGAACGCGACGAACATTGGGATTGGTAGGCGGCTGCGTGCCATAGCTGGATGAACCAGGCGCGCTTGAGATGCGCGACGGCTGTGTGGGCGGAGAAGGTGGTGGCAGTGGGCGTTGCTGCTGTGCAAAGAAGTGCTTGCCGTCCACAAACGCCGTCCCCGGAGTAGACACTGTGCTCCAATACCCGCCATCACTCTCCCCTCCCTCGTCATCTCCCTTGTCTCCTGCGTGACCAGTGCTAGTGGCTCGAACGCCCTGGCCCGAAGCAGGAGTCGGGCTTTCCTGGGGCCAGTGCGTGCCTTCTCGCCTCCTCTCGTCTGTATAATCCGGCCCTGGGGTGGCGACTGTGCTCCACGCACTAGGGGTATGCGGGATTGTGCCTGCTCTTGGAGGGGAGATGTTGCCTGATGTGAACGGCGTCTGTCCATCAGCGGCGGTATCCGGGAAACCGGCAGCACCTGAGAAAGGGTGTTCGGATATTGGCGAGTTGTCGCCTCCTGCTGGACCAGCCAGCGGGACACGACCCTCACGCAGCGCTTTCGCGATATCAGACGCCTTCCACTTGGCGTACTTGATCTTCTCAGCCTAGGAAGGACAGTGAGCGACGTGTATGAGGAGAACCGGAAGAAGTGTAGAGGTACGCACCACGTCACGCTCTCGATCGAAGATGGCGAGGAGTTGCATGAAATTAGCAGCAGCAAGGAATTTCTTTGCCGTCAGCCTGTCATTGAAGTCGTGTGAGATATATGCGACAGAATCAGGAATGATGAGACGTACTTTGTAGCGGCACCTGTGCGATCCTCGTTATCTGCACTGCCAAATATATGCTCCGCGAACTGCCCGATCCTCTCACACGCAACATCCGTATCGCTGATAGCTTTCTCTCCTGCCAGTGCACTTTTACTCTGTGTGATCGTCAGATAGGCGTGTCAGGCTGTACAATATAAATCACGCACCGATTCAAGATACTTGACAATCAGGTCGATGTAGTGCTTGGCTTCTGCGTCGTGCGATTTCGCAAGAGGCAAGCCCAGCCGGGCAGCGTTGTACAAACCTGTATCACATCAGCGCCGTTTCCGTCCGTCGAGTCAATAACACGGACACCAGTATGCAACTACAGGATCGGCAGTCTTGACCTCGGCGGCTCTCTGAACAAAGGGCGCGATGGGCTTGAGACTCGTGGGGCACGCCGCGGATGATGGGATGTTGGCGGGAAGCATGGCTTTAGGCGGCATCAGCGCCGGGTTAAGTGTTATTTGTATGCAGCGTATATGGGTGTGAAATGTTCGTCTGAGGGCGGCGAAGGAGGTCTAGCGTGTTGATTATACGATGTGAGGGGTATTTATGAGGGATGAAAAGGATGACGAACCGAAGTGGTCACAAGGGGTGAAACTGAGGGTAATCCGGAGCAGGTGGTCAATGTCGGGCGGTACCCGGAAGGCGCACAGCGGCTATGGGTATCGCTTTGATTACCTCCTGTCTGATATCTCTCTCTCTCTCTAGTTGGTCGTTGTTGTCCAAATATTATCGGTGTATCGATAAGCGAATGACGACGAAGAGATGGTGGTGAAGAGGACAGTTTTGAATTGAATACCCTCTGTGCAAATATTCATCACAGGCGCCCATGTCACTGCCCAGCGGCTATGCTTCACTGCAAGGGAATGTCGCCTTTTCTCTTCTTCCAATCAAACAGCCACATTACACGCTGTGTGACTCACTGAAAAGGATAACAAATATGTATACTTCATCCCGACATTGCTTCCTCCAATGCTACTTTCAAAAGAAAGAAGGACTCCGTTATATGTTGGCGTCTTCTCAATACCTCTGCTCAGTCTTCACCCTCTTTGATTGCATCCACTCTGGTCGCTGCTCTCACAGCGCTCTATTGTAGGGCACCGGATTTGCTACTCATCTTCCAGCGGCTCATGTCTCCTCTGCGCTGGCAACCCGTTGACCCCCAATCTGTCGCTTGAGCTTGATGGCCGTCTTCTCCCCCACACACTCTCCCCAGGAGACACGTCCGCACAAACCCCGTTCGTTGCCCAACGCTGGATCGAGCACAGTCGCCTCACGATTTGATAGGAATTTCCCTCCCTTAGTTCGTTTTCCGGTAGAACGACATCAAGCCCAAATTTGTCCCTCCACTCGCGGCGCCTCGTCCTTCGCATCACTAAACGCATATCACATTCGCAATTCAAGCCATTCAGCCGCATACACCCGCATCGTTACTCCTACAGTATCTTGTTCATATCCACAATGAGCTTTCAGCTCGATCCATCCTGCTGGATGATAACGGGGCCAGGCTCCAGTGAGATCGGTCCACCCGGCTGCACCGGTCCTGGTCCCAAATTGTAGGTCAGCCTCAACTCTTGATCGCCCGTCACCTGGCGCGTCTGCAGGTGCCCATCATGGACGGCGATCGACTGAGTGTTGTGCTGAATGGTGATCAGCCCTGTTCATTCGTTATTCCTCTGGACATGACTAGACCAAAAGAGGGCGTACTGTATTCTCCAGCCACGAAATCCGCATTGACAAAAGAGGCAAGATTGATCGGGTAGCTCAGGACACCGTTCTCAAAGTTGCTCTTGTCAGGCGTAATGGCATTGGCAATCTAACCAGGCAGGTAAGCATGTTTCCTCTCGGCAGTGCGTCTGAAAGGCAGCTCACCTCAACAGCGAAGTCGTTCCCTTTCTTTTGGAGCAGTATATCAACCGTAGGAGTGAAATAGAGACCGGAGTCGTACACCAGGTTGTAAGTGAATGCGATCACCGAGCCGGTGTGGAACGACGCTCCGGGGTTGGGAGTGAGGATCTTGGAGTCGGTGGCCATGATGTGAGAGGGAGAATCCTGTTTGTGGTGTCTCCCTTGCAACCTCGGATGCTGGGGTTTTTATACCTTTCTTTGTCCACCCTCGACAGGGGCCCCGGGTATGTTCACTGCCTACCAGAAAGTCTAGAAGCTGAGATTTATCGCACAGTAAGCGCGCAAGCAAGCTCCGAGTGTGTATTGTGTCGCTCATCTCCATGATGGGCTGTCCCGCTCCACGTCCATCATCGTGGTTTGACTTTGGCACATCAACAGGGGCGCCCGATTTCACCGTGTGATCACCTGCTAAAGGAGACTTTCATCATCTAAGACCCGTCACAACCGGTCAATGTACGGTGAGACGATGAACGCTTTAGCGACTGCCCCTCCGCCATTATCGCAGAGAAGCTGGGGAAGGGACAGCCTTGATCAGTCACGTGGCGCGAAGGACAGCCTTGAAGGGCGCATGGGCGAGTCATGAATGACGGGCTATCGCCCGGCTAATCTTGGCACACGTACACGAAACGACAAGAATAACAAGCGCTTGAAGCAAAAGGAGACTCTTTTGATAGAGTTGACCTGACGAGTCTGATGCCAAGTGTCGGGGAAACGCCGAACGTCCAGCCACGCCCAGCCGATTCCGTGGACTTGCACATACTCGGGCTTCAAGGTCCATCGTGCATATTAATAGGCACTGCCGTTTATTATTATCATGACTGAGGTAGCCAGGCCCCTTTCTTCACCCTTCACAAAGCAAATGTGTGACGCATTCATGGCTCTATCGAGTTATCCAGCTGGATCTGTCACGAGCGATACACTTCACTGATCGGCTCGGCCTGTACGTGTACTGCTCCGTTACTCAGACAGCTCCTCTCTGAATGTTGCATCAGAACCAATCGTAACGACCACTACTTCCCGGCATACATTCAACTCCTGACAGCAGAGGTGGTTGGCGAAACGCGTGTGAGTAGAATCGGAGATAGATAATTGGTGCAATAAATTGCAAAATGGCAATATATTTACGCCGAAGCGATTATGCGGGGTAGTCAATGTCCATGACGCAGACTACCAGAGGCATTCCATTAGTATCTTGTAGTCTTACACGCTGATGTGGATGGAGACTTGAAAATTAATCAAGCCTGTGCTTTGCCTCTGACTTAAGATTCGAAGACTTTCACTTTCTCACAACATCCATTAAACGACCCCTCACGCTCCTCCTTCCTTCAGCCTACGCCATTTATGCGACCTGATCGAGAGTGAGCGCGATGGCACTCAGTTCCTCGGTCGACTATTCTGGCAATCATTGTTGATTGGCTGTATCTCTTACACCGCCCACGCCGAGAGAATTCGGGCCTCGGCGGTCTGTGGATTGGATAACTGTACATTTATCCAAAGTAGGTTATACTGACAACGAGCGAGAGACGCACGAGACACAGTTTTCAAACTTGAGCGAGTGTGCAGTCCATTGCAATGCAGAGCGCCTGATCTAGTAGGCCAGCACGACGCCGTTCTCTCCAATCCACTTGTTCTCTCCCTTCAAGCACTCCCTGGCGATGAAGCCACCCACGTCCTTCCTCGAGATTGTATATGAGCCTTTCACAACCGGTGCAGCGCGCACTTTCTCTGGCACCTCATTCCCGTCCGTGTACAGCGCGGGACGTACGATGACGAGCTCGTCCAGCCAGTCTGAGCGCAGGGAGGCGGCCGAGGATGGGATTGCGACCTCCGGTGGTGTGTGCGCGGGAGTAGGATACTTGGAGCTACGAAGGGATAGGTACTCAAGTGCCTCTGGGAGTAGTCATCTCATCAGAACTGGACGCAAGACGGAAAGCTGAAGAGGTACATACCCTTGTCGATGTGTGCATCCTTGAGCAGCCAACCGTAGAACAAACCCCTCAGTAGGAATGGCAATTCCTTGTATTTTTCTCCAAGACCCATGGTGGATATGATAACAAGCCTCAACCCGGGTCGGTTCAGATCCTGCAGCACGGAGAGAAGGATGGCAATAGCACGGGCGCAGGGCTGAGAGGGATCAAGAATTATTCCACGAGACCAGGTAATCTTGGGCCATGCAGCTGTCCTGCCCGTGAGATATGGTGCTAAAATGCGTAGGGGAGGAAGACGTACAAGGCCGCACACCGAGACTGAACACGACGGTGTCCATCCCCTCGCCAGCTCTGTCCACAGCACGAACAATGTCATCTCGGACATATGCATCTCCCTTTACGAGGATTGCATTCTGCTGCTGCTCGGGAGTGAGCGCTTGGAACTCGGGGTTGGAGGTGAGAGTGTCGGGATTTCTGAGGAGGAATGTTGCACGCCTGCCAGCCTTGAGAACAGGAAGGGCGGCATAGAAGCCGCAACCACGGGAGGCACCGATGAAGAGGACGTTCTGTGTTGACATTGGGAGATGAAGTTGTTGACGGGGTGTTAACTGTGTTGTTCAACTCATGGGCCGTGCCTCGTTATATACGCCGATAAATGGCTCGTCGCTACCCATCCCCCATCGCGAGTGTGCCACGGCGTCTGCTGTCGTCCACCGCCCAAAGTTGTCATCGTCCTTACACCATCGCCGCTCTTATTGGCTGCGCATCAGTCTTCTCAACCTCATGGACAGGTACACTTGGACGGGTGAAAGGTTAGCGGTCAAGATGAACAACGGGCGTAGTAGATAATTTTCCAAACATTTGAAGCAGGGCTGTGTTTTTATTCGCCGTATCGTAATTATTACACAATGCATTGGTCAGCTCCAAATTACTGAATAATATTGATATCTTCTGGTACAAGGCAGCAAACCTTGTGATCTTATCTTCTAATAGGCAAGCACAACACCATTCTCTCCCACCCATTTGTTCTCCCCCTTGAGGCACTCCCTGGCGATGAAAGCACCTACATCTCTCCTCGACAGGTAATACGCGCCTTTCACAACTGGCGCAGTCCGTACTTTTCCAGGATATTCCTTCCCATCTGTTAGAAGCGCGGGGCGGACGATGACCAGCTCGTCGAGCCAGTCTGAGCGTAGAGAGGCAGCATCGGTGGGGATGGACTCCTGCTCTGGGACGTGGGTGGGTGTAGGGTGCTTCGAGCTCCGAAGAGAGATGTACTCGTATGCCTCTGCCATGAGCAGTGATGAGAACTGTGTTCAGATGCGAGAACAGAGATGCTCACCCTTATCAATATGCGCGTCCTCTAACAGCCAGCCATACAGCCAGCCCCGGAGCAGGAAGGGCAATTCTATGTACTTCCCTCCCAAACCCATGCTGGAAATGATCACGAGTCTCAAGCCGGTCCTGTTTAGGTCCTGCAGCACCGAGAGAAGGATGGTGATAGCGCGGGCGCAGGGGTGGGGTGGGTCGAGGATAAATCCACGAGACCAGGTGATCTTGGGGAAGGATGCTATACACCATCTGAGCTGAGCTACGAGAGGATATCGCGAAATGAAGACGCACTGGGTCGGACACCAAGACTGAACACCACCGTATTCATCCCTTCCCCAGCTCTGTCCACAGCGCGAGCAACGTCCTCTCTGACGTACGCGTCTCCTTTCACCAATACTGCGTTATCCTTCTGCTCGGGAGTGAGCGCCTGGAACTCGGGGTTGGATGTGAATGTATCGGGGTTGCGGAGGAGGAACGTTGCGCGGCCTCCCGACTTGAGCACTGGAAGGGCAGCATAGAAGCCGCACCCACGGGAGGCACCGATGAAGAGGACGTTCTGGGTAGACATTGCAGGACTGTAAAGGTGTGTTGAAGAGATACTGTTGTTTTAGGGTGTCGACTGGCAGTTGTTGTTATGAATCCCAACAACCGTCCATTGTGCCTCGTTCTATAGATCGAGTTCCTCTTCTCTCGCGCAGGCTGCCGATGGGTGTCGTAGTTGTCATTGCGTACATCGAACAACGTGTACGCCAGTCATCGACCAACGTTGTCACCGGGATTATACCCTCTTGCACCTCATCGGCTGCGCAGTTGTCTCCTCAACTCCGACTGACATGTCCAGCAAGCCTTCAAGCCCTAAGAAAGTGCAGACAAGAGTTGATCAAGGGATAGAGGTGACAGTTGGGGACTGAGGCGCAGTCGTCCCTTAGCCCTGTCGAGACTGCGTTGAAGAAGGCAGTGTGTCCTTCGCCGTTCATTGAGTAAAGCTGAATTACACAACGCATTCCTCACTTGGGCGCAAACACGGTAGACGGGTACAATGATAGAATTGAACATTTGCGTTGTTGTACAGACATAGTATACAATCCATGTTAAGTTAACTATCAAAACAATCGTCGAGCTTACCTCATGATTTATCCACATCAACACCGACGGCCTGCTCGCCGCTATCCCTTGGTAGGGAGATGTCCAGCTCTCTCGCCACTTCTGTCCTCACCGCCGCCCAAACTCTCTTCCTCCCCATCTGCGCTATCGCGATCCCAACATGCACCCTATCCAACTGTCTCGTGTACTCCCGCAGGTCATCGTATACACCACGGATTTGGGTCAGCCACTGATTGACAGCGGTGACCTGGTGCGCGGCACTGGGGAAGTAGGTCTCGGCCTCGCCAAGGTCCCGTCGGTCGGGGAGGGTAACCCCGCCGGGTGTAACGAAGAGTTCTTGGTACGCCATCGGAAGTGCAGGACCGCCATCCATTGCCATGGAAGGCGAGCGCCCATTGCGCCCGAAACCTATACCGTTGGTAAACTGGAGTACAGCAGGTGTATGGGGCTCTTCTTTTATTCCATCCATTCCGTTGGGAGAGTCCGCATCGATTTCGCCGTCTACATTCGAAGGCGCGTCCAGGTCCCTATGACTTGCTTTTTCGGACAACAGCCAGAATAATCGACCGAGAGATCGAGTGCCCTCTCCTTCGCTCTCGATGAGGTCGCGCGTCATCTCGCTCAAGTTGTTGAGCATCGAAGGATCGAACGAATGGCGTATGCCGGGTGAAGCAAGGAAGGAGGACAGAGAGGGAGCCGGATCAAGGTCGGTTGGTGGCAGGTGCGGAGATGTTGGGGGAGAGTGGAATTCTTCGAATCCTGGTGGCTCCAGTGTTGCTGGACTGGGAGAGCGAGAAGGAAGGAGGAGCTTGATTCGTTTTCGTGCACGTTCCTCACCCTGGCTTCACGTCAGCAGTCATCCATAGGACAAGGTGCGAAGCGTACTTGGACGTCAGCGGAATAGACACCAGCTATTACCGATCGCTTCTTCCGCATATACCGGTTGGCGTTGTCTAGCTTCTTTCCCCAATTATCTCCACTCGTACTGGCACGCGTGTCGCCAATGACCTCGACCATGTCATGAGTCGAGTACATGCGAGGAAAATAGCGGTCACTCCGGTCTGGTTCTGATACGTAGCTGGGTGAGAAGGGCATGAGCGGTCTGAGAAACAGCGCAATGCATAGACGTACTCAGTCGGAGGGTTGGCAGCATCCATCGAACCCTGATCTATACCCGGATGCCGATGTATGATATGATGGTGATGGTGGTGATGGGGGGTGGGGACCTGCAACGGCGGGCGAAGAACGCTAGAGGGGCGAGAGGTGTGCTGGGCGAGCTGGAGGGGTGGAAGTGCGAACTCCGCCTGGGATGAGGCATATGCAGATAGAGGCGGTGGATTCATCGGCAGAGAAGGCGAGAGCCTAATCGGCTCTACTTGGTACACGACGCCGAGCGTGTGGAGCAAGACGGGTAATGATGCACTGTAGAACGTCAGTATCGCTATCACAGGGATGACATACATGAGGAAGGCCGAATGGTCAGTATTAGCATGGTAATCATCGTCAATGTTCTGCCTTTCGCAAAACTCTGTGCTTGACTTCTATGTTGATCATCTCTCCAACGGCAAAGAGAAAGTGTGAAGGCGAAACAAGAACAAATGAACTCACATTATATGCGCGAATATATGGGTATTTGATCTGGAGGGAATTGTGAGTTGTCGAGTGGTGAATTCGCGGTGGACAAAAAAAATCAGAAATTTGGGTATATGATAGAAACGTCACAAGCCGTGGCTTCCCGAGTAGCGATTCGTATTGTCATTTTGTTCATCAGAGTAATTAAATAAGAATGAAGTTGAAATGAATGTGCTTACCTTGATATACAGAGGGAGAGGAGAGAGGAGAGAGTAGAGAGGAAGGAGGAGAGAGGAACGTCAACTGAACGCCGTCCAAGTGCAAAAGAGGAATGCACGGACCGCAATAACACGTGGTTAAATGCACCCGTTACTTAAAAAGGAAATTAATTAATTCCGGTGGTGAATCCGCTGTGTGCCATAACCGTTCACTGTCGGATAACGCGGCCCTCTCCTCGACCTCGTCTCTCTCTTCTCTTCCACCACCATCATCTCTTCAACTCAGTCCAATTCAACACCTTCATTCATAATATCCTATTCAGATATTGTATCTTATTCTGCGCCCAATGGCGACAGTACAGATCCCATTCTCACATCGGTCAAATCCATCCTCACCATTCGCACACAAGTTCTCCACTCATCACAAATTCCCTTCCCCGCCTCCCCCATCTACTTTCTCGCACCCACATCCCAACAACGTCACATCTCCATCCAGATGGAACTCGCCTGCCAAACGGAAACATGAAGGTGCCGACGACTACCCTGATGACGAACATCGCGAACAGGACTCGACTCAGAGGAGGATCGCCGGCGGAAAGCGAGTCAAGCGTGGGGATGATACGATCAAGCCCAATGAGTCCGATCGCCAAGCCATACCAGGTTCCATGGAGGTGAAGAATGAGATGGAGGACGTTGATGTAGGCGTGCTACTCGGTAAGTCGGATCTGGCATCTGTCATCCACCCCTCCGTCTATCATGCTCATTCCGTGTGTACAGCATCCGTCCCGCAATCATCGCTTCTGCCTTTATTGAATGCACTCATCAACGATAATCCATCTCTCAAGCCCAAGGTTATCTCGTTGATGCCCCGACCATCCATAGGCGCCGTGACGGCTGCGCTCGGTGCGGCATACCAAAAAGTCCAAGCGGCTTATCCGTACTCCTCATCCACGCCTACATTTAGTGGTGGTGGCTTTGGCATGTCTTTCCAACCGATCGCTCCGTCATCCTTCGGATTTGGCTCAGCATTTGGCACCCCGCTCTCCCTCCAAGCCTCTGGATTGCAACAGCCGCGGGACTCCTTCGCTCGGGCCCGATTGCGACAACCCCTGGCTGAATTCGTCACCACTGTTCTCTCCTACTTGCCCTACTTCAGTCTCACCCCCGCAACGTCGGCGTCATCTGTATCGGCTTCATCAAAGCAACAACCGCATGCGGGCGAGACTTTTACCTATCTGCATCAAGCTGCGCAGTACGCTCTCCAGCTTCTCCCTCTTTTCGGTCCACCTACGCCACCACCCGCCGACTTGGTCGACCTTATCCAGCGCCTTCACACAGAAGTTACGGCTTGGTCGCAGGCCGTTGCCGTGCATGTGAACAAGAACGGTGGTATGTTCGGGAGCGACATGGTGCAGACCTGGTCCAGGGGATTAGATGAGCTTGCGCAGCTCGGCGGAGAGCAATGGGGGCAGCTTCGGGATGAATGGGTACAGCAGTGCGGGTGGCTTATCGGTCGGAGATTACACTGAGGAAACCCGGATGTGGAATTGTGATGCGCCTCATTTCGGGACAAGCCGAGCTGTGACGTTATCTGGAGAGTCTTTTCCTTTCAGTCTCTGTATGCAACACTGCGATTTTCTTTCATGCACTAGATACCACCGATCACGACTGTACATGAGATATTCCTCGAATCAACTAGATACGTCTCAAATCGATGGAGAGAATAAAATTAAACGTCCGCTGTGCCGTAATCATGCTTCGTTCAACGATTCCCTCATCGGCGGAGTACAACGCTTCCCGGCTCGGTACTTGTACTAGCTGTCGTCGGCACCGTGACTGACGTTACCCGGGTCGGACTTGTCATTGCTACTGCAACTGTAACAACTCAAAACCCCGACTTGATCTGACGTGATCTGGTACCTCATCCAGAGAAAGAAGCTGGTACATTCAGTGGAAGCTCTGACTCGAGGGAACGGCACAAAGGTGCTCGTCTCGTCGTCTCACGGTGACGCCACCCCCACAGTTACGACACCCATGTGCCCGGCTTATGACTGGAGCAATAGTTGGACTGTGTACCCGGGATTTGCGCCAGTCCGGCAACAATGTCGTGTGACCATGTTTAAGTCATCCGCACAATTGCTTCCCAAAGAAGCACAAAGATGACGTCTAGTACTCCGTTCCTACGGCTGTCTCCACCGGAAAGAGAGAGGCAACCCCAAAATACCGCAGCCTCTTCGCCTGCGCTTGGCCGCAATTCCGGATGAACTTGCTGATGTTCTAGCCCTTTTTTCCAAGAGAAAAAGCAAGTTGGATGAAGCGCCAAACCCGTCTCCGTCGATGCCGCTCCAAAGTCGTGCCACTTGATGCTCAAAAGAAAAGCGGGCAGACGGTTGATGCTGATGTTTTGTGCGTCACCATGAATGGCCGAAAGAAAGAAGCTCATAAACTGCCCGATCGTCAAATCGGCGCCTTCCAAGTTCCTGTCACAATTTTCCCGAAAGTCGGAGCCGGGTGAAAATCCGACCCTGGAGAGTGGAACCGAAGTAAAAACGGAGTAACCATACCGGTTAAGGTGTGCCTAGCGCTGGGCTTCATCACAATCGACGCAATTTCAGCACATTTCTCCCTAACAACTGTCACTCCGCATCAGTTCGGCACTTCGGTATATCTGGGCCGGACGCTTCTTCTCTTGTTGGGGACGCCGCAGATATCACCCAGCGATTTGCACCTCCAACTCGGTCAAAAAATTACAAGCTGAGCGATGTTCACCCGAATAAGCCGCGGAAACGAGCCCATTGATGGTGTGTGATGAGGGCGTTCTTGCCTCATTTTCCTTTCACGATGAGAGGCTTTTATGGGCATCAATTACACGTTGCGATCGGGGGATATAAAGCCGCAGTAAGGTGTTAACCGCCCAAGGCACGGTAAGTGTTGGGTGGGGAGGCATCAGCTAGAAATCACCACACGAATACCCTTCTAATTCCCCACAAGTTCAGGAGGCTGCCGATCTCAAGAGGCTCCCACACGACTAGTCCACTCTGTGCCATTCTCGGCGTGACCCTCGATGAGAATGGCCAGTGCCTTGGTTCGAAGGGAGGCGAGCGGGTCCCTGGTCAATTCCCTGTCAAGCGACAGACCAGTAAAGGCAATCAACTGGGGCCGGCTGCCTTCACAGATGTTGCTCACTCAACTGGCACCTTCTGCTGCTCATTCCCTCTACGATCTGTCCGTAATGTCCGCGAATTACATCTATCGTACGACATTCGTCATCTGTCCCCGGGCTCATGCTCTCGCACACTGCCGGTGTCTACCACCGTGAGACCAATTGCCTTCTCATGACCATCGATATCATACGCACCAAGGCGTGCACGATTCTAGTGCGGACGTTCGACGATGCGGTCAACAAAAGATGAGGGTGCTGCCGCACGTGTCTTTCGTCTGTCACTCTATTCCCCGATATTGCTCTCCATCGTTTTTCTGACCCGTGGCCAACGAACGTCGAGGACCACTCATGAAGCATCATTGCCACGAGGAGGTCCAGCCCTTGCAATATTCCCATGCCTTGCCTTGAGCCGCTGCGTAAAGGTACAAGAAGCCAGTTGAAATGGCTCGGGAGGGTCAACTCGTCACTTTCGCAGCCCCATTTCTGCCCGTCATTCCAACACCTCAAATTCGTGAAGTCCATGGCCGATTTGATACTCCCGAATGAGTACAATCCGCTCATATTTGCAAGGAACCACTGCTGACAAGAGACGCGACAGAGTGAACTGTGTTGCAGTCAACTGTCAACATGTCGGTGTCGGTGCGTCTGTATTCTTTTGCAGAAGGCATGCCGCTCATGAAGTATAGGCCCTGGCGGAACCGTTCCGATGCTGGCTCGTGCGACGATAGTAGATTTCCGAGGTCAAATGGTGCTTTCCTTTCCACCCTCGTAGTGTTGATGCATCTAACATTTCTTAGCTCCTGGATACATATGTCCAACCTACCGCCCCAATCACGAACTGTCTGTGAAACGTATGAGCTATCATCAGAAGAATTGACTGGCATGCAGATCGAACGTACACGACAGGAATCACCGCTGAGCTCTTGTATAACGGTATGCCGTACCACTGCACAATGGTTCAAGTTCTTGACGTCCCGGTAGAGTCGGCTTTGCCGTTTGATCGCGTCCAGGCTACCATAGGCGAGATTGTCCGCGACAGGTTTATCATTGGGTATACTCTGTGGTGGGACTTCTCCATTCTTGGAATCAGGCACCCAGCCAAAGACACTCGAGATGTAAGTGGCTGTCTCGATAAGAATTCCCATTTCTTATCATGGAGTCGTGTTAGGTCGGACTATATCTGCCATTCCGCGCCGCTCTGGGACAACCAAACAACGTCCTGGGTCTTCCGACCCTTGTCTGGCACTTCATGCGCAGACGCATCGCGATGCGCGTACATGACTCGGTAAGATTCCTGACTTATCCATCAGAATTACCCATCATTGAGTGAACTTAGGCGGAGAACGCACGCGCAGCCCTTGACTTGTACCGTTCCAACGCCCAACAGTGGGAAGGATTCGTGGTGGCAGGGGATTGGCCTTGTGCCCTCCCTCCTGTCACATACGCACGCTGCTTCACGTAGCCAGCTGGCGTTATTCGATATGTGACGATCACTGAGCTTAATAGAATAGGGTGCTTTAATCGTTATGTTTATTGCTATTGTATCTAGATTCATTGTCAATGGATCGTCTTTCGCTTAGTCATTTACTCACATGTTGGTGGGCCTGCTGATAGACGGCTTCCACATTTCTGACACCATATTTCTGGCGGCTCTCCGACAGGACCCACATACCCAGCCTATGTGCAGAGGGGAGGTAGAGGGCATGAAGGGGGATGTTCACATTGATCGAAGTACAAGCTCGGGGACGGCCACAAAATTTCGATAAGGGAGTCGCCTCTGAGCATTTGTCGATTCCAGAAGCCATTCGACCCGAATAATGGGCGCCTTCCGAGGTGCGTGAATACTGATGTGACGTTCCAATCTCTTCATGGAGCCAACAGCAGTGAGAATGACGTCGGCGGCGTTTGCTTGGCTTGTCAAACGTCCGCCATTTCCTTCGATAGTTCGGCTTAGCTCGACAAATTGGTCAGCCGTCAACTTTGCAGGGATAATGTAGACCGCCAGATCTCCAAGTATCTTGTTCGGCGCGTTGCAGGTGACGAGATCTGAAGACGACGACGTCGCCACAGGGGTTTCGTTGCCGTCCTGAGAAGAAATATCAGCAGAGGGGCCGCAATCTCTCAGCGGGACATGTCTTGAATCTTGCTGGAGAGCAGAAAGAGGCGAAGTCACATCTTCTCCGTTGGATTCTTGGGAATAATTTGTGCCTACTGACGAGGCAATGAAATGCGTAAATGACAGGTCTTTCTCCCATTCGGACTGATACAACCGAAACAAAGCAAGACTCGCTCTAGCGTCGATGACCTACGAAATGTGTTAGTTCTCAGCTCGAACCTCCACGCAGTGGCACTGACACTATCATGTTCATGGGCCTGGATGTCCATGCCAAAAACTTCCTTGATCATGCGCTTGAGACTCTTGCCAACACCGCGATGTAAGAGTGGTACATAACGCTGAGTATCTCTGGTATATTGAGAAGGGTATGAAAGACGCAACGCCTAGTCAAGAGTTGAGTAATTCCTAGTGTGAAATGTGGTATCGCGTACTCTGAAATCATTAGGCAGTGCGTGCCCAACGACAATGCGCTTATCTAAGAGTTGAATCGCGGTCGCTTGCACTTCCTCAAAGGATGGAGCTGCAGATACGGATCAATGTCTTGTACAGCGGACTTGGGGCGTAATAGGCTCACCGCCAATTAGGTCTGCCGGGCGTACTCCACTCCACTTTGTTCTATAATCCAACACCTTTTTGGTCTGCTTCACGAAGCGGTCTAGGAGTATTCGACCTTCGTAGTCGACGATGCTGACGCGAGCTAGCGAGGAGGCTCCCCTAGGCTTAACGCCAACCATCTCACAGTCAATCGCGACATATCTTGTGCTAGTACGCCTGTTAGTCTCGAAACGATCAATGGGCTGCATATGCGAACCTCAAGTCACCCGGCCCGTGGTTACTCATTCCAGCGATCATTTTCCTGAGTCTGTCCTTTGACCGTTGCGTAGTCTGTTCTTCCCGGCGGCCAAGGTTGAGCAAGTGTGGGTAGGTGTTGACCAGGTAACCGAGCACCTTACTCTGGAGGGCAGTCATCCAGCGTGATGTCATCTTGAGCGTCAGATGTCTGTTGCTGACTTGCCGCGAACGAGGAATTCATGGACAACAGGTGCAGTGCATGTTCATGCTGCAGAGGTGAGCGTCCTGTTTGAAAATGACAGTAGGGATCCCAAGGCTGCGCGCCGTGACCAGTGGTACATATCATCGTCGTGGGAGAAGGAGAAAACTTGACTTGCTTAACGTAATGACCTCGATTGCACTTATTCTAGTATACAGCATTGACATACACACAACAAAGGAACGTGCTTTTCACTACAGAGTCCCAAGCAAAAGAATGACAAGGTTCAGGATGGTGGTGGGCGCGTGGATCCACTCGGTCGCACAGGACTTTCACTCTCCTTACTCTCAACTTGACTATCTTCTGCACCGCTCCCGCTCACAGATACTGCAGAAGAATCCCCAAACGGATTGTCCAAGGGCGTAAGCGGTGGCCCAGGGTATGGTGGTACGGGATCATCTTGCGATGGGGACATTGGTCTTGTTCGCACACGATTCCTCCAGTGACTGGCAGAAGACTCCCGAACGAGAGCAAGTGCTTGGGCTCGGGATGCTACGTATGTGCATTAGCTAGCGAATTGAAAGACATTAACGGTGGTACGTACCCTCAGAATAGGCGCCGCCATCGAAGTATGACTGTCGCATGAGGCGTGGCTCATCCACAAAGTCATCCTCGTCATCCTCTGGCAGCCTATAACAACACAACACCTGTAGCCAATGTGGCCATCTTTCCATCGTGGTGGCTCCTCTCCGTACGAGAAAGTATAGGCCAAGTCGCAGAAACAGGAAGAAAAACACGATTGTGAAGAACGCGACGAGGAAGGTCTTCCAGGTGGAGAGATGCGAGGAGGATGCTTCTACGGGAAGAGGGGTGGAGGTTGGGAGAGAGGTGAATATGGAGCCAGCGGGGACTTCGATGACCACGGAGGAAGCTAGGAAGAGGTCAGATCGCGTGATTCTGGTGGAGGGGATTGTGCACACCAGTTGTTCCGAAAAAGAGTGTTGTTGTGACGGATGTGACGGTTGCGACAGTCGTGCTTGGATGTGTTTCATTTGATGATAGTGAAGAGGTTGTTGAGAATGAGGAGTGATTCGAGGAGGTGGTGGGAGGGAATGTCGTGTTTAATTGAGCTAGTGCAGAGGTTGGTTGGACCAAGTGAGCGGTTGTGTTGGTTATCCCCCCTTCCGCTTGGGGAGCCATCTTGAGAAAAGAACCACAAGAGGTCGGTAGGAGAGAGAGAGGATAATGATGGTAAAATGAGAGGGGAAAGGAGCGTAAAAGTGGAGGAAAATGAAAGGGTTAATTGAGCATGGAAATATGGGAAAGTTAACGTCGGTGGTTGGGCGCCCAACCCTCAGGGACACAGGGTCCGATCTTATCGGACATCATGAACTCCCACAGACCGTACTCCCCGAACTGTTGTCATGACACGCTCGAGCCGCTTTGCCGTACTCCAGGCAGCCTCATGTTCACGTCGAAACATCTGGCAACTATCAGGCCTAACCTCTTCCTTTGACCTGACTGAATAGTTACAATAAATCATATGAGTCATGCAAGTACACAAAGAGCCATCCAGTTCCAATCCTCCTTAGAATACACATACCGTTAACGTTTCAGTTTGCTCAATGTCCTCCCGGACATCCAGCCCTATTATCCTCTCGAACCCGTCTATACACACCCCCTCACAACCTTCTAGCCCGAACGTGTGGTCTGCCGTCTGCAATGTGTACGGCAGCTTGGACGTGACTTCCTCCGCGAAGATCGGCTTTGGGGTGAAGCAAGTTTTATCCGGTGCCAGCGTAATATATTCGGACGGTGGCAAAGGTCGCGACGGGGGCGGAAATGTGAGTAGCTGTACACAAGGAGACGCCGGGACGGGAGACGGTGAGTGGCCCATACTCGACAACGGCGAAACCGACAGTGGGAGCACTGAATCCACTATCACACCTGTGGGCCGAGCAGCCCAGCGCACATGCCGCGTTCCGTAAGTGTAGCATACGTGAGTGTTCGCTGGATCGCTCGAACAGTCAAGCCATCTTGCACGGGCTGCCCAACCCTTCCACTGGATATGTGTTGTGAGCCCGATGGTGCCCGTAAACTGGGGGTCCGGTTGTGGATTCAAGAAGAGCGAGGCTGGCGCAAAGAGGGTATATCGCCGGGCGCCTATGACTCGGTGGGGTAGCGTCCGTAGCCAGAGCTCGAACAAGAGTTCCAAGGCTAGGCTGAAGATCCGACAGTCTGGGGAGGGGTCGCAGTAAAATGGCAAAGGTGGGAGAATGGGTTTTGCCGTAAGTCGTCCGCTCGGCTTTATCCGACAAGGTGAGGATCGAAGGATGGGAGGTTGAATGTTGAGCCCTGCATCGAGCAGAGGTGGGTGAAAACAGTACACCATGAACGGCTCTGGGTCTAATCGCACGACATCATAGGTGAACTCTGACATGCGCTCGTGTGATGCTGCCAGTACAACGTGTCGTGAATCCAAGAATGCAAACGATTCGATGGACATTGGAACCCCGGGAGTATAAGTCTGAGAACTCATTCAATGATTTTCAGGACATTGTTCGCCGATAAACTTACGCAGACCAGATCGCCGGTCCTCCAGTTCCAGACTACCAAGTAATGGGGCTTGTCAAAAGACCGAGGGCGAAAGAGGATCCCGACAAAGTCGCCGCATATATGGATGATAAAGAGATATTGATGAGAATCCAAAAAGGATTGGTCGTCTGTGATGGTGAACGAGACGGATGGCACGCGAACGTCTGGATGTTCCTGGCCGTCCCGGATCGTCAAAAAATGCACCGGGAAGACGGGGCCATCGAAGAGAGCTCTAAGCAGGTTATCAGCGTGGTTTAAGAAGAGAACAAGATATGCTCACTGAGGTTCAGCTTGCACCACAACAAGAAGGTCCATGAGGGGTTCAATCCCAAAGTCGTGAATTGTCATGCCAAGGTCGACCGTCCAAGTCTTTGGTTCGTCGATGTGTAGCAATATGCTCGGTAAGATAACAAACGTTATTGCGCTGGTGAGGATTGTATCTCCGGCCATACGTATCCCACGTGCGTAGATGCCGTCCACCAGCTCGTACGTGGATCCGGGAGCGTAGCTATGGGGTATACGGACTGGGACGTGGACACGCATATTCGGGTGAAGCCGGTCTATTGCTGCGCGATGTGCTCGGAGCATGTTGAATCGAACAGACAAAGGTAAGAGCTCGGAGGGTATGTCATCGTTGTTGACGAGATTAGACTTTAGCAAGAGCAGACGATATTGTATCTCGACGGTAGAAGTGACGATAGAGTGGAAGCGTGAGTTTAGTCTTGCACAGCGTAAGATGTCTGTTATGCCGAGTGAGTCTGCCCTAATAACTTGAAGTAATAGTTCTGTTGGAAGCACTTGTATTGAGGTCGCTGTTGCTGCCTCATGTGCGGATATTTCTTCTGTGGTCGGTGCGTGCGGCATTGTTTGACAGACACTGATTGGGTCACTCCCCCATTGCCAAGGGAGACAAGGCGGTTCCTCAGGGTCTCTCTCATTCGCCTCACATGTGATGTTTTGTCTCCGCTCGTCTAATAAGGGAAAACACTTGTGACACGATGATGTCATACCTTTGGTATCCACTCATTTCATGCAATCTGCTCATCTACAGTGGCCAATTAGTGGAAAAGTGGGCGCCTGCAATCGGCGCTCAAGGCATTATGATTGTGGCTATGCAGAACCACCGATGCGCCATGAGCGTCATCGCCCCCAGGTTATGACGTAACTGTTCAACGTCTTTTCTCTCTCCATCGGTAGTGACGATCATGGGTGACCACTTCATCCTCATCCTATATAAACTCTCATCTACTCGCCCAGAGGTATTCTCTTTCTCAATCACTCATCTCTCTCACGACCCAAAACCCACGACTAAACGAATTCCATACAACTTGAAAAAACTTGATTAGAAACGAACAACAACGATCATGTCTCTCCCCATAGCTCTGAAGGATATCTCCGACAAACCTCAGGCAGGCGCCGTCACTGACCCCGTTCATCCGGCTCAGATGCAGGCCGATATTGATCGCAAACTCAGACTATACGGCGTCGTCCAGGCATTCCGCAACGGTCGCATGCCTACCAACGTTCAGATCAACGACGCCCTCTCATATGTCGAGGCCCACTCTCCTCTTGACATGTCACAGCTTTCCGCTGAAGGTCGCAACCTCATCGATGACGTTCGCGACATTATAGAGACCGCCAGGAAGATTGTCATGGAGAAGAACGCCGACGAGCTCTTCCAGAACTTTGTCTGGCACACAACCTACATCGATCCTAACCGCGGAAAGGTTGTCGACAGTCTCGGAGATGCAGTCCCAGTCAGTCAGGAGCAGGCTAAAGCTGACGCCCAACAAGGTGAGAGCAACTTTACAGGTTTATTTGACGCGTGTCTCATAAATACATCAGCGGTCGTCCACGTCCGCACCCTTCTCTCCCTCTTCCTCACCAATGCTGAGGCCCGCAAGCTTTTGAGCGATGTCGGTCTCATTGGACGCGACATGTTTGCCACAGGTGCCGCCAACGTCGCGGAAAAGGTTCGCCCTGACCCTGAGGCCATGGCTCGTGTCGATGATGCCGCGCCTTCCAATCAATGGAAGGGTGCCGACGGCCGCGTTCACGGCCCGAACGAGACCCCGGTGCTTCAGGCCACTCTCCCTGGCGGTCGAACGGTGCAGGCGCATCCTAAGGAACCGTTATCGAACGCAACTTACCGTGACGCCGACGGTCAAGAGCGGCCAACGGCCGAGATTGCCCAGCAAGCTCAAGAGCGTGTGCCAGTGGACGATGTCACCGACAGAGAACAGTGGGCGAACGCTGCCACAAACGGAGCTCGCCGCAATGCCGAACCTCATGTCCGCGACGTCCAAGGTGCGGTACAGCGTCAACCAGACGATGACGGCGACGCACAGGTCGAGGCAGGCAAGCGCACATGGAAGGAGAAGTTTAACGACTTCAAGGCTAATCTCAACGACCGTGTTCCTGACGAGCATAAGGACAAGATCCGCGAGCATCGTGATGCCATCAAGGACCACTTTAAGGAGCAATTCCCTGAGGAGCGTCGCGACCAGTTCATTTGGCGAATGAAGAAGGTTGTCGTCGAGAATCAGAAGCACGGCGACTATCAAGAGACTATGAATTGGTTCTTGAACTTCCTCGAGGTGAGACCCTTGAACCTGGAACAGCCGATGGTTTATTGACTGCTTTACCAGACATACCACGGCCACGCCAAGTCTGCTGTCGGCACTGGCTCTCAGTCTGCCAACGCTCTGACTGAAGATCCTTCTCTTCAGCTGGCATGGTCCGAGTTCCGCACCCTCCTCGAGCGTTTTGCTAATAACCGTACGATGCAACCTATCATCGACGCAGTCAATGATCTGTACAACGATGCGCAGCAAGATGAAGGTCTCCGTCACTATTTTAGTCGTCTTGATGGATTTGTACGTCGTACCCTTCTGGAGCCTGGTTACGTGCTAGCCCCAGAATACGACGACGACGCGCGGCGGGTTCGCGACGAAGGGAAACAGTTCTTTGACGAGAAGTATGCACCTCACAAGGACCGTTTATTCGATTCGATCCAGGACTTCTTCCTCGCTATGGGCGACGATCCGTTGAACAAGCAGTTCGGCGATGACTGGGCCCGTCTTACACATGATCTGTTGTTCGACGAGAACGGCCAGCTTGCTTTCAAGCCCCACTTGTGGGGTGATATCCGCCGGGTCATCCTGCCATCCATCGTGGATCAGGTTGGATATGTACCCATTCCGCGCATCGAATACACCGACGATCAGATGGATCTCGTCATAGAGAATCTGACTTTGCAGGGTCGCAACCTCTTACCCAATGTCATCGAGCTGGAGGTTCACAATTGGATCAAGTTCTCACCCTACTCAACGGTGACGGACGATCACCATCACTCTTTCCGTGGAATCTTCGGTCAGATTCAGGCCGATCTCCGCGATGTGGCCTTTTACTTCAAGAAAAAGCAAGGCTTCCCGAAGCTGTCTGACTCCGGCGTGGCCGATGTTGTCATCGGTGGCTCAGGGATTAGCGGCACCGTCCATGTCGCATCCGCTGGAAAGGACAAGTCATCGGTCTTCACCGTCAAAGATGTCCATGTCAAAATCGATTCTCTCAACTTCTCCATTCGTGACTCGAAGCATGATACCTTGTACAAGGTTCTCAAGCCCCTGGCTACAGGTCTCATCAAGAAACAAATCGCAAAGGCTCTCCAAGATGCCATTCGAACTGGCCTGGAGTACGTGGACGGGGAACTCGTCGGTGTGCGCGATCGCATGGGCGAGGCGAAGGCACAGGACGGTGTCACCCGCACTGATGTGCCGAAACAGGCTTTCCAACGGAAGAAAGCGGAAGCTCAGAGCGTGAAGGAAAAGACTGGCGAGTTTAAGATTGACACGACTCGGGATTCGATGCTCTTGCCTAACGTCGGTCACGAGGGTGGACTGATCAACCGGCAATTCGAGCGTGCTGAGGCGGCTAAGCGCGGCAAGGAGTGGCGCAGTGATGCGTTCTCCATCGTTCCTCAAGGCAGCGCTAACAGGGCGTGAGGGGAGGTGTTGTACGCACGTGCTTCAAAAAAGTGATGGAGGCACGGACTTGGGCAATGCCCAAACGCTCACTGCATTGCCCACTGTCAGATTGCAGCCTATACTTCTAATACTGTGAATAATGAACTTCTTTTTTTTGCCAGCGAAAGTGATAATCAAAATGGCAATCCCGAGACATCAGTGGATGAACAACGCAATCATCAGTCAGTGCTTGACCCTTGGTCAAACCTGTGTGGAGAGGTGGACGGACTCCTGATGGGAACGTTCCCATTGTAACAGAACTCCCTGCTGGCATTGATCACAATGTATCAGAACAGATCTAAGTCCTATGCTAAGGTTGAAGAAGCCGATTACAGCCTATTCAGCACGGCCTGGGCAGCGCCTGTGTAGATGGATAGTCCTAGGCACGAAACCTGCATTTTGTGTATATAATGCTTTCGCACTCAACTGGTTCGCTAATCGCACAGTAGTCACGTTTCATTTCTGCTTATATCGAGATTCAAAATGTCCAACGCAACCGCGTCGAGTACCTTGGATGTCCTTGCTTCGGATCCTTCCATAACCTATTTGCCGGCTGGTACTTGGAACACGACCAACTTTTATGGCAATCTGACATATGCATACGGAAATGTACAAATCTTGTACACCTTTTCAGGTACGCGAGAAAATTATTCTTAAACAAACCAGTTACTCACTCTTCTCAGAGCCGGCAACGGGGATAGAATGGTGGGGCTCGAAGAGCGGCAGCGGGGGCAATGCTGAAGTCTGTATCGACTGTCCCCTCAACAGCACTAGCGGAGTTCTCGTGGACTACACCGATCCGTCTGCAGGGAGCTATGTCCCCGAACCCGGAATGATTGCGGCATGGACGAATCTCACGTATGATATTCACAATATTACGATTTACAATATCTACGATCCCCAGGCCTCGAATGGCCAAGGTGGTTATGGTTACATCTACTTTGAGGGCTTTGAGCTTACTGGGACAGATGGGACGAATGGTTAGTGTGGGTTATCTCTCATGTTTTCCTTCCTTATTGGTCATCTCTTAGCGGGTAACGGCAATCAGCCATCGTTTGTGTCTGCACCTGCGACAAGCACAAGCGCGTCGGCAACAAGCTCCTCGCCCGCAACAGTCACGGTTACTGACTTTGTCACTGTCACTCCGACCGCATCTCCCTCGGCAACCTCCAGTTCGGCAGCTAAAGTGAATTCAAATCGACTCGGTTTATGTTTTGCAGTTCTTGCGATTATTGGAGCAGTATGTGCGTCATTGTAATGTCCCAACTTGGAGAAATGGCAGTGGGAAGTTGAACTGCCGACACCATGGGGATAATGTTATAGATCACGGGACGGACGAGAGGGTTGGAATCTGTATATTAGCGATACAACATGTATATGGGTACATTGATCAGGATAGGAAAGATGGCCACGCGGGAGGGGCGGCCGTTGGCTGTATCGGACCGGTAGCCAGAACCATGTTTCGGGGAGTGAACTGAACATTTACTACGGGCGTCCGTTTTGTTGGCAAGGTTGCCAAGAGGTCGGAACTAGGTTAGGGAAGGACTTAGAGAGAGTCCATGAGAAAGTGATTGAACTTACGTTTCGGTCTTCTCGGTGACATCTTCACCTAAAGAGGTGGCATTTCCACCAGCAGACTTCACATCCCAACAGCGAACTGTCCAGTCAGCTCCACCGCTAAGCAGCACATTCGACTCAGCGCTGAACGTTAGAGAATGGATCGCGGCGTTATGACCAGTCATCTTTTTGATCCGACGACCAGAATGAAGGTCCCATAGATTAATGGACAGGTCGTCGCTTCCAGTCGCCAGATATCGTCCATCAGGGCTAAATGCCATGGCAGAAATACCGCCTTGGTGACCCACGAAGACGCGTACGCATGCACCTCGCTGAATATCCCAAAGCCTTGCGGTCCAATCGCTCGATCCAGTAGCAAGATACAACGAGTTGGGATGGAAGCGAACGATCTATGAACCCATCAGGATGACGTGGAGATTGAATCACAGCTGTACTCGCATCAACGTCATTTAAATGCCCGGCAAAGACACGCAAAGGAGCGAGTCGTTCCGTGCACCATAGTCGCGCTGTTCGATCACGACTCCCACTGGCAAAGTAAGTACCCAGTGGACCCCACTGAACGTCCCACACAGGACTCTCGTGACCGCGATAAACGACAACATTGGCGAGAAGGTCGAGTGACCATAAGCGGATTGTGGCATCTGCAGAAGACGACAACAACCAATGTGGTGGGCCCGACGACCCAGCAAGAGGGTCAAAGGACACAGAGTATACTGGTCCAGAGTGCCCAATCAGTTTGCGAGTAATTGAGCCGGCCTTGTCTCGAATGCGCCGGAGATCCCGAGCTTCTCTGACGTTGGTAAGATCGAAATCGCTTCGCAGACCTCGAATTTTCTCTCCTTTTAAATTCCATAAACGGATATAGCTCTGTTCGAACCCAGTCGCCAATAGAGAGGAGTCCTGAGAGAAGGTTGCACATGGTACATTCCTGAATTATTGTTAGACCGGACGCAGTGGCATGTAGTCCGCACTTACCCATCTGGGACATCATGCAGAGTATACATGCATATGCTTGGCAAAGCGACGACCTTTTTCCGACCAGGCGCCACGTCTGCGTTCGCAGAGCTTTGTAAAAGCGTCGGATCCAGGCGGATTCGTTTACGCTCATCTGAGACCTTGGCTACCTCGCGCCGCACATCCACCTCCCGAAAGGAAGGTGGAAGTGGCGGCATGTCTTCAGGAGCAACGGTTGGTAGCTCCGCGTCCTGTGGCTTTTCTTTCGGGCGGTCCAGGTCCATCGCACTAGCATCTTCCATAATCTCCTTGATCGCACGGTCCACTTCTTCACGCAATGCAAGGTCTAGAGGAGGCTTTCCGAGTTTTAAAGGAGATTGCGCGGCGTTGAATGATTGGGGATCAGCCGGCTTTATACTCTTGCTTGACGTGCCAGGAATGGTCAACGACACAAGGGAAGACACGAGCCCAGTTGTCTCCTCGAGATTCCCCTGCGACTGCAGCGCGGACGTCGTCGCGGCCACTGGTAACGGTTAGCTAAGTGATTATAGATCCGTGAGTCAGCGTACCATCTATCTTTAGATGCGCGTTTATGACCCTCAGGACAGCATCTCTGCCTCTTCGCCCTTTCTCCCCGCCGAAGCTGTCTCCCACTCCGCCACCCGTGCCACCCATGCCGTCGGTGAGCCAGCCGACAAAGAGAGCGAACCCACTCTTGCTCATTCGAAGCCTGTACGATTCTTTGCGAAATCGTAGGGCTGTTTCATCGGAGGTCAGATGGACGGGGAGAAGAAGAGTCGAGAGATGATGGAGCGTGGCGGTCTGTGTTGGTAGTAGGCGAGGAGAGTAGGCGGCGTAAAATATTACAGCTAGATGACATAAGCACGAATAGAAAGATGTTGCGATATAAGATACGCACCAGAGTCTTTTAATCCTAGTTGGATCAGATCGAGGTAGAAGTGGACGAAAACAGGGAAGAGCAAGGGAGTGAACTCGGGCTGAAACGTATTAAGCGGCAGTAGACAACACACGACGAAGAACGTACTCGATATATGTCTAACGATCCATCAACCCACGCCTCGAGCTCTCTAAACCCATCATAACGAGCGGCAGGGTCAAGCATCATTGCGCTTTGCACGTCCACACCGGCAATGTATTTGAGTCCCGGTAACGATTCGGCGAGGTTCGACACGTCCGGCTTGTTGTTATCAATCATATGTGTGAGCGAATAGTCTGACTGTAGGGCTTGTTCCGCATTTTTGAAGCCTTTTGAACGCAGGTACTGGAGTACGAACTGGTGTTGCTGGTCCGGAGTGATTGCAGGTTGTTGAACGGGTACAGGGAGTGCGGTGACTGGTGCTGGAGTTGGAGTTGGCGCTGTTACTGGTACTGGTGTGGTCTCTGGTGGAGATGAAGATGCGTTGGGAGTAGCAGACATTGTTATGAGTTTAATCTGAACGACAACAGTGAATGAGTGAAGTGAACAACCCGCGCCTATTAGTCCGAACACCGCCACTAATCATTACACGGACCGAAATCGCCGCTGTGACACGTCGTGTGCGTTTGATGAACAATCCATCGTTACATCGAACTCCTTGATTACTACAACCATCATATATATATATATATATAATCCACTCAGCTTGGCCAGCTTGCATATCTCTTTCTCATTAATTTCCCCCTCCCACTAATGGAATTCGACGACCATGAATTCCACGTCCCTCCTCCACCTCGTCGTCCACCATCACCCACTACCTCGGACAGGGATGACGAGAATGCAGTCGAGAACTCCGTCCTTCTCCGTCGCTCCCATTCACCGCCTCCTGCCAGTCCAGAAGACGATAGAATGTGCCGCATCTGCTTTGGCGGCGTTGACGATGAGCCGGAAATGGGTAGATTGATTCGGCCTTGCTTGTGTAAAGGATCCGTATCGGTTCGTCCAATTATGCACCTCTCTCTTTTTATAGTCCTGATCAGCACGCAGTTTGTACATGTCAAGTGTCTGAATGACTGGCGACGGGCTTCGCGTAATCGGACGTCATATCTCGCGTGTGCTCAGTGCGGGTATAAGTATCATTTCGCACGCACACGCGTCGCCGGACTGGCAACCAATCCATGTATGCTTTCTCATTCTACCGGGAGATCGACAGAATTCTCAATCCCACTCAGTCATATTATTCCTCGCCACCCTCATTCTGTTCTGTATCATCACACTGGCAGCAGGGTCGGTGATGTCTTACTTCCTCCCACCCTATCTTCTGTCTTCGACGACGGATCCTCAATCTACAACCAAATCTCCTCTACTCGTCAAAGCCCTCCTGGAAGAGGATGACGAAGATGAAGATGACTTCACCACACAGCTCTTCTTCTATACCCCGGCTGGTGCAATTCAGGATGTCCTCGAGTCTGCCCTCCGTGCTTTCCTCTCTGGGGACGCCCTACGATTGATGGCTTCCTTTCTGGGCTTTTCTTCAAATTCGAAGCAAATACCGATCGACAATCCTGTCACCGGCTTCAAGCAGACGGTACGCATTGGTACAGAGACACCTCTCCCGATACACGTACCTCCCTTCTTGGCGGGTATCCTTCAGAGGCTTGCTATCGGCACTGCAACTATCGGGATTCTCTCATTCGTCAACCTCCTCCTTTCTTTTTCTCTTTTGCTCCCTATTCAGATGGGTCTGCGCAACGTTTTCCGCCGCGGACCCCGTGACAGCAGCGCTACTTCAACCGCGCTGATAATCTTGTTTATTATTATCGGCCTGGGTCGGTAAGTGCCCTATCATACGCCTGAGACCATAGTCTAAATGCTCCCACAGGGCGATACACAAGGTGTACAAGGTAACACGGATCCTCGCTGGCTTTATCCTTCTCATGGCGGAAACCGCGATTTTGGACGTAACCCAAGAGGATATGGAACGCGAACGAAAATCCATTCGGGCATGCTTCCAGCAAGTTCATCTCAAGTTCTTGGTGCGGCGCAGCTGGTTCTATCGCCTACTGAAGTTTGAACCCGCTGCTTGGAGTGATGTCCGGAGGGCGATTAGAAGAGGGTATGAAGGCTTTGTTGAGCCCCAAGCAGGTTAATTTTCTTTCTCACTGTAAAGTATTGTTCCTCACATGTAAACTACTCCTTCTGGTTAAAACGAAATGATGTGACTTTTTGGATGAAATGATTATTCGTCCGCTCTACGGGATGTCATCCAGTCCTTCGTCAGGGAGTAGACAACATTTCTGAAAGTTGATTTTGAACAATAATGCAGTCAAAAGTAGATGACAATTGTTGAAGAAGTGCGCGACTAGTTCATTGATAACACCATTTCAATTCACTGTTCGCTGATATTTACTATAGGACGTCCCAGACTGTTGTCTAGATATACCCTTAACGATACTCACAATGGCCTGGCTGAACAAGAAGGACCTGCCTCCCCTCCCATCAACACACGACAACCTCCGCGTGCTCGCAATAGGAACGCTGTACGAAATCCAGACGTTCTACCTTGACGCTTTTCCCGACGAGGGCCACAAGCTGCGTGCACAGAGTGTCACACGAGAACGCGGTGGATCAGCAGCGAACATACTCTCTCTCCTCGCACAGTTCGACGGCGTGTCGCCCTACCTGTGCGCGCCCGTCGGCAGCAGGCGGGAGAGCACGAGGATAGAGAGTGAGCTAGGTGATCTGGGAATAGGCACAGAGTTCCTCGTGAGGAGGGAGGGAGAGCAAGTCCCAACGAGTTATGTGATGCAGTCGCGTTCGTGAGCGCCTTCTTCTCCCCTTCCCTGCCTTTCCTCACCCGTCCATCTCCATGGGATGTGCTACTGAAATTTGGGCTTTGTGGCATGCATTCTTATTTTTTA